CCCTTTCCCCTTCTCTATGCTCGGAAGCCACCAAATTCTGGACCTGGTGCCTCTCACATGGGGTCACCCCTTCCGCTGTATATCTTCCCGGAATACTCAGTGTCACGGCAGACACCCTAAGTCGCATGTTCATGGACCAGCACGAGTGGGAGATCGACAGACATGCCCTAACTCCGATCTTCCTTCACTGGGGCCAACCAGAAGTGGACCTCTTTGCCACAAAGAACAATCTAAAGTGCCACCTCTACTGCTCCAGGGGAGCTCTGGGCAGAAGTTCCCTCGGGGACGCCCGGAGCCCTGGGGAAAAATTCCCTTGGAGACGCCTTTTCCATCACATGGGATGCCTCCCTCCTGTACGCCTTCCCCCCCTTCCCACTCCTACACAGGGTCCTCAACAAGATCAGAACGGACCAAGCGCTGGTCATTCTAGTGGCACCTGCATGGCCCAGACAGATGTGGTACCCTTACCTTCTCAAGATGATGGTGAAGGACCCGTATCCCTTCCCTTCCTATCACGACCTCCTCTCACAGAATCACGGTCGGACCCTTCATCCGAATGTCCTCAAGCTCAGTCTCCATGCCTGGCTCCTTCATGGCTCCAGGATGCTGAAACTGCCTGCTCAGAACAAGTGAGAGACATCCTAATTAATAGTAGGAGACATTCTACCAGGAAAACCTACCTGTACAAGTGGACGCGTTTCTCCCAATGGTACGCTCAAACCCATGCAAGCCCACCACATCTTGCTCCTATACATACCTTATTGGACTACTTACTCTCTCTAAAACACTCCGGCCTAGCACTCAGTACTATCAAGGTCCATGCTGAGGCCATAGCTGCTTTTCACCGTTCTCTACGAGGCTCTTCCTTTCTCACTGACCCGCTGACCAAGCGCTTCTTCAAAGGCCTGCAGAACACCTTCCCTCCGGTTCGGCCACCAGTCCCCATTTGGGACCTGAACCATGTCCTTAAGAGCCTCACAAAACCCCCGTTTGAACCAATAGCGACCTGCTCTTTGTCTCATCTGTCCATGAAAGTGGCTTTTCTCGTCGCCATTACCTCCAGTAGGAGGGTGAGTGAACTGGAGGGTAAGTGAGCTTGCAGCCTTAATGGCTGACCCTCCATACACCGTATTTTTACAGGACAGGGTGGTACTCCAACCCCACCCTAAGTTCCTACCTAAAGTACCCTCTCCCTTCCATGTGAATGAACCCATACACTTCCCTGCCTTCTTTCCGAAACCGCACACGGAACCGATCCACACCGTGTGGCACACTCTCGATGTCCGACGAGCATTGGCGTTTTACATAGATCGCACGAGACCCTGGCGAGCCTCGCCTAGACTTTTCATCTCATATGCTGAAAGATCTAAGGGACAAGCAGTCTCATCTCAGAGAATCTCTAAATGGATTACATCCTGCATTAAAACCTCTTATACCTTACATAACAAAGACTTACCTGGACTTATCACAGCTCATTCCACTAGAGCGGTAGCTTCCACGACCACCTTTCTTCGTAATGTTCCATTGCAGGACATTTGCAATGCTGCTACCTGGTCATCTGACCACTCGTTTGCGCAACACTATGCTCTCTCCGCTTCGATAGCATCTTCTATGGCGGTTGGACAAGCGGTGCTATCCACAGTTACTACCACACGGCTCCAAACCCACCTCCGCGAGCCGACAACTGCTGTGTAGTCACCCAGAGTGGAGCACCCACGGGGACCACTCGAAGGAGAAGAAAGAGTTACTCACCTTGTGCAGTAACGTTTGTTCTTCGAGATGTGTCCCCGTGGGTGCTCCACTACCCTCCCTCCTTCCCCTGCTTGGAGCCTGATACTCTGGCGGGTAGAGAAGGAATGGAGGAGCCGCGCGTGCGCAGGTGCCCTTCAGTCCCAACGACACTAGAGGGCGCCACGGCGCCTGCGCGCCGCGGCAGAAACAGCTAGAAAAAGTCTCCGGTCGCCGTCGCGAGGACGCACCGGCACCCAGAGTGGAGCACCCACAGGGACACATCTCGAAGAACAAACGTTACTGTACAAGGTGAGTAACTCTTTTCCCTTCCCCGAGAGGCTAGTAGACACTCTTATCTTCACTCTGAGCCTCGCAGAAAAGTGACTGACTGGAAACAGCCTTTTCTGGTTTCTCTGATAAAGCAGCTTATTTTGCACATTGGTGTTATTTGCCCAGGACTGGCCTGGTGCACAAATAGTGGTTGTGGGCCCTACAGTTCTGTGTCTGCTTCAGAGTTGCTGACTCAGGCTGATCTCCCTTGCTCAGTGTTGGGCATAGAAGGGGAAGTAAGAGCAGCTGCCCATCCCCCTTCTTCGCAAAAAGTATCTGGAATAGTGTAACAACCTCATTTGTTGCCACTGAGTTTGCTGCTATGCTGACTATAGCAGAGGAAGATTTTCTATTCCTTGTGGAATATGTTTCCATAGACTGACACAACAACATTGTTTGATAAACTGGCTTGGGTAACCTGAGGTTAGTTATAAAAAAAAATCTGATAGTTCAGCTATCTTACATGAAGATTTGAAATATTAGTGACTCGTATCATGCATTCACAGTGCCGCCTTTTAACATCAAGTCTGGGAGATGGGATTAATATGGGTAATGTTAAGAATACTTAAAATGTAAAACTCTTAATGGACATACATACTAGCTTTTTCTGGTAAATCTTCATGTGTCAACAAAATCTGGACTGATCATGCATGTGTGGTGGCAAACTGACACTATCAGCCTAGATGTCCAGAGGAAACCTTGCTAAATACTAAATCCTAAATACTGCAAAGGCCCATTAAGCATTGTCCATTACAAGATACAGTACAAACACCCTTCTCCTCCTGATCTGCAATAGCTTCTGCTACTCAAGCCCTGGATTTTTGATGTGCACTATTTACTAAATTTTGTCTGAAAACGTGAGCAGAGGTAAGAATAAGACAGTAACTAACCTTCATTGCGTCTCTTGACCTATCCTAGGAATTGTTCCCAGACTTCTGGGGTGACAGACTGTCACCTTGTTGTTTCTTCTCTCCCCAACCCCACTCACCAAGATGCGTTTCTTTCATCCAATGAGTACTACACGCTACTAACAAGTTCATGTTTAGGAGTTGATAGCAGGGAATGTTAGCCTGAATTTCAGTCTCTGCTTAGACCGTTGTTTCTTAAACTTTTTAGACCAAGGAACACCAAACAATATTTTTTTATGAGGAACACCAAGGATTTTTTGTTGAGCAAAAAAAAAGGCCGGGGGTGGGGAGAAGGGAAGTTATTGAGCACAGTTTAAAAAAACACTGGCTTAGACTCTTACAGGTTTTAAACAAAACCCTTAATGTTACCCTTATTTGGCATTGCTTCCTGAGAGCAAGCTATATTCATGAGATCAAATACTAAAGAGAATGTCATCTTTATTTCTGGATCCTGTAACAGACTGTGTATTAAACCTGTCTTTTCAAAATTGAGTTTAAAAACATTTGAAACAGTGAGAGTTACAGCATCCTTGGTAACTGAATGAGGGTAGCATCACTGGGAGCTGATGTTTTGTTTTATACTCCATCAACTGGCCCTCCTTTTGGGACCAGGATTGAGAGACAAGAAACGTACTTCACTGTTTGTATGCTGAGACTAAGCTTTCAAACCCTTTAGGCAAGTTATGTTAAATGTGGTTAAGTTTTCAGGGGGTTAAAATATGTCTCCTTGCATTCAAAATGTCATCACTTGCTAATTTGGACTGTAAGGATGGTGGTGGTATCTGATCATAAATTATCTTTTATCATACCAAAGGAATGCTTCGGCTCTTCTAGAACATAAGAACGGCCATACTGGGTCAGACCAAAGGTCCATCTAGTAATTTAGTGTTGTTCATAATAGGGATATAAACGAGTAGCCGACTACCCGATAAGCAGGAGCTTTTGGGTAATTGACTACTCGATCACTTCCCTTCCATTGCCACTCTGCACTCTTAAAGGGACAGAGGAGCTGGTGCATAAAGACGCTGGCTCAGTCTCTGATCCTCTGCAGGGTCTCAGGACAACCCTCCCCTGTGCTGCCACTCTGCATTCTGAAAGGGACAGAGCCGCCTCCTTACAAGCCCCCTCCATTCCCCCTGTTGCCACTCTGCACCCTTAAAGTGAGAGTCTGTCCCTTTCAGAATGCAGAGTGGCAGCATGGGGGAGGGTTGTCCTGAGACGCTGTGTGGGACCCGAGACTGAGCCAGTGCCTTTGTGCAGAGCGGCCCTGAGGGAATTGGAAGGGCTGTGCTGAGATTCAGAAGTGAGCCTTTCCCAAGTCCACTTGACTCCCTAGTTCATAATCAATTGTATTCAGTTGCAACTTGTTTTCCTTTTAAAAATGGAGCCTCTTGGCTAAAAGCAGAAGGGCTAGAAAACACATAAGAAAGGGCTTGTACACAGTACCACTTATTAGTCTAACATCTGTCGCTCCAGGGTGTGAATAATCCCGTCCCCCTCCCCACAAAGTGGTGGAAATTACACTGACCTAAGTGCCAATGTGAGCTTCTCCTGCTAGCATAGCTACTGCCTCTTGCCCAGGTGGCTTTATTATGCTGCTGTGGAAGTGTCCCCCTTCAGCATGGAGCATCTTCACCAGATGCGCAGCTTTGGCACAGATGTGACACTGTAGAGCTTCTAGCATAGACTAGCTCAAGAGTTTAAGTACTTTTAGTACACTGATTGGGATGGGGGTGGGAGGGACCCCAAGTCTTTCATCGTTCAGTCTTGGTACTTGCAAGGTCTCTGCTGCTGACAGGATATCCCTAGAAACAGTTGTTCTGTGTAGGCTTGTTCCCAGAGTGTTCCTAAACTGGAGATGTGCTCTTACTGTCAGTCATGCTGCCTTCCACTCCTGAGTTTCCTGAAGGAGGCTTGCGCAGTGCTCACCAGTTTTTTTTGTGAAGGGCGTTCAGCATTGCCATTAGAGACAACACTTAATTAGTGGTGTGTATAAATGACCTGTTAAGTTTCTCTCTTCTCTGTTGGTAGGTAATTAAATGTCTTTACTGTGGAGCTCTGCTTTGTTGGAATGCTTGGATGCACTGCAGCTCCTCCTGTAGCTTTCTTTTGTCTGCCCCATTGTGAGAAGATGGCAAAAGTAAACATTACTCAAGACCTCATCCACAGGCAGATCAAGGTATGTGTCAGCCAAGATTCTTATTTGTGGTGGGGGGATGGGTAAGGAGAGCTTAATGTTCATGCCAGAGCAGTTTCTGTGGAGCTTGTTTTCACAGTACTAATATCCACCATATACCCCCTCTTGCTGTGGTCTTATTAGCTCTGCGAAGGATTGATACTTGGCTGGGAAGTTGTGCTGTGGAGTGGGCGTTTGGGAACGGTTGAAGTGAGGGGTCGGGCACTTTCAATCAGAGTAAATATCAAAATAATTCCCAAGTAGTGCTGGGGATACTGTACTGATGGGGTCGCCATCTTTAGATAAAACCCAAGAGATTCTGGTGACTTGTGATCAGTTAGAACCCCGTTAGTATACAGATTAGAGATGTTAACCTCTGAGTCCTGACCAAGTTTCATTTGTGATAATTCTATTCTTTAGCTTCCTGAGCAGGTTCATTTGGATACTTAATTTTTTTTCCTTTCCATCCTAACCTGTTTAGTGCTAGTGTGTATGTGTGTGTGTTCCTCAGGCACTCATTACCATTGTGTCTTGCAGTTGTAGTGTCATAAATTTGTAAATGCTTCAGAGTGAATGGGATGGAACAGTCAAATATTATAACAATGTGCCTCCTTTCCAAACACTGGGCAGAAGGTCCAATGCTCTGCTTTAATTTCCTGCATTCTGGCCCTGTTCCCGCAGTGGTTTTTAGTGCCGTATTGCAGGTTATTAAAGTGTACACTCTCTTCAGACTAAAATATTAGGTGCTCAATAGTTTGGATACACTTAAAAGATTATCTAAAGTTCCAGGGCTAAGGTGGGGTTGCCAATAGCCCTGTATTGATACTGGGTCTGATCAAAAGTCCATCTAACCCAGTATCCTATCCTCTGACAGCACCCAATCCCAGGTGCCATAGAAGGAATGAACGGAACAGTAGGGTTGCCAGGTGTCTGTTGTTGGCCCTGACAGTCTGTCACTTGTGGCTTCTGCCCAGTAAAAACCCCCAGAAAATACCAGTGATTTAAAGGGGCCATGATTCTTTTGTGTGTGGCTGTGGGGTTTTTGTTTTGTTTTTGCTCAACAACTTTGGTCCCCTTTTATTTTTTGCTCAACCAATTTTTTTTCTTCCTGCCATGTACGGTATCTTTTGTGACAGTATCTGGCAACCTAACAGAACAGGTAATATCAAGTGTCCATCCTGTTACCCATTTCTAGCTTCTGACAAACAGAAAAAGGAACAGACACCTGTGTTACCATAGTTCAACCAGGGCAGTGCTACGGGTTGGTAATTTGATCTGGTGCACAGCGTCACAGTGCTCCTCATTCAGCCCAGCCACCCCTCTGTCATTCCTAAACAGCCCTTGGACCTCCTGTATTTTGTAATTAGGATTGGCAACCCTAACTGTTTGTGTTCAAGTACAATAGAACTGTGCACAGCAAGAGCTGATCCCATTTTGTGTTAGTTGGAGCTTTCTCAAGGGCTAATCCAAGAGCGTACAAGGAACTTCTACAGGAATTAACCATCAGACCCTGCCATTTTCTGTTCTGACTGCAAGATGCACTCTTTGATCTTTCTTTTTCAAATTTAAACCATGTTGTATTATTTAAAAGTAAACTATCTTTGTGGGGAGAAAGAACTATACATGACTGATGTGAATCTTGTAGCTTAATAGCAAGCAAATGGTCTGGTAGCACTTTATAGACTAACAAAACATGTAGATTGTATTATGAGCTTTTGTGGGCACAGCCCACTTCTTCAGATGACCGAAGTTATGATTAGAGGATAAGGAAACTTGAAAAAATAGATGGGAAGGGGGCAGGGAAGAAAGATGTTCTGTCGCCCACCCCCAATCTCTGTGCATAAAATATCAGGAGAGAGGGTGCTAAACTTGTAGATATGGACTAAGTTGTTTTGAAATAATGCTAGCTAATTCAAAATAAAGTTGCTGTGTAGACGTCATTCATGCTTAAATTTGACTCTTTACATATGGGCCTTAACAAAGATGCTAACTACCTTACCCAGTACAATGATAGCTTCCCCAATTATCACCCCTAATATCATTATCTCATAGACACTAACCTCCCCCTTTCCCTCCTCCCCCACGTTCTAAACACCTTCAGATCTGTGAGATTATGGTTCAGTAAACAGAAATGTTCTGCCACTGGCTTCTGAGTATTTTCTTTATGTATATCCGATTTGTGTCCATTGATTCTTTCACGTAGAGAACGTCTAGTCTAACCAATATATATAGTAGAGGGGCATTGTTGGCATTTGATGGCGTAGATAAAATTACTAGATGAGCAGTCAAATGACCCTTTGATTTTGTGGCTTGTGATGAATTCGTCAGTGTAGATATGTGGGAAGAGTTGGCATATT